TCTTTTCCTTCTTTCCTGTGGTACTGAAGGGGCTTCAGTACTGAGCTGCATCCCTAGCCCTTTATATTTTTTATTTTGAGATAGGCTCTTGCAAAGTCACTTGCCCAGGTTAAGTTTGAACTTGGAATCCTCCTGCCTCAGCTTCCTTGACTGCTAGAATCACAGGCCTGCACCACCAGGCCTACCTTCTGATAGATATAATTACTAATATAAGAGTAATTACCTGCTGCCCTTCTGTACCCTCAGCAGTGACCATAGCAACAGAATGTGTTCCTGCTGAGGAGATGACCGCGTCGTGAGCAGGGACTGTGATGGGTGTGCCATCTTGCGTTACCATTGTGATTGTATTGCCAATGGCCTGCATGTCAGCTTGAGATATATTCACCTGTAATACAGGGCATTTTACAAATCAGTTAGTTTCTTGTTACTTTCGACAATTTTAGTTAATGTCTAGGCCCAGTAACTGTTTACTCCATGGGATAAAACAAATCTTTTATAATCCAATAAACTCAGTCATTAGACAAATCAATACTTCTTAAATGCATCTTCTCTCCATCTGCTATTGGTAAATTAGATCCTTATTTTTCTGTCTAAATTTCTGCAATAACAACTTCTGTACAGGCAGCTAGTCTAACTCTTCCCTAAATCATACTCTACTAGGATGCCTTTCTTTTTTTTTTTTTTTTTTTTTTTATTTATTTTTAATTTTTTTTTAGTTTTTCAACAAATAATACACTGCATATATTCTTCTTAGTGGTTAATTGCTGTACAAGATGCGGACTTGTGATCCTATTTACAAACACCATTAGAACAAATCATTCTATTCATTAACAGAATGTAACTATATATCTATCCCAACCACTTTGAATACACAGATACAAAATGGACATTCATCTGTATACCCCATTTTTTCTAAGTTCCGTTATTGAATATTATAGGTGTGTAAACTCAGCAAAATATTCTAAAAGAGTCCAGTAGCCCATAATAGCATTGGGTCTTCTGTTTAACTGGCAATGTCAGAAATTATTGACCTGAGTCCCCCACAGCTCAACTTAACAGCATGGCTTTATTTCTTATAATTTCGTCTTCATACTTTTCTGCTGGATGGTTAAGACCAAGGTAAAACAGGACCTATGCAACAAGAGTTGTAGCTTTTGGGTCTGAGAAGGTCAGTGAAATGCCCTCAGGATTTGTCCTGAGATCCTGTACCTCAGATTGTAGAACCTTTATCAGTGCAGCCATGTGGATGAGTCACGGCCAATGCTTGGCCAATGTGCGCTCTGTGAAAGCCTGAGAGAGTGTCTTCTCCCCATGTGACTCTCCTTAGGCCCACTCTATGTCATCGATCACTTTCCTCTTTGGCCCCATAATCTTCTTGATCAGAAAATTTGGGACACTACTGAGGTACATGATGTTACAGTACAAGTTCTCATATGTCCTGAGTCTTAATTGACCTTAGAAGGCTAGGGCCAAAATGTTGGCTTTCCTTGTATCCCTCCTTTTTCTCTAATTTTGGTCTGCAAACTTAGGTTGTTAACCAATAGGATGCCTTTCTAAAACAAAGCAAAAAGCTGGACATGGTAGCACAAGCTTGTAATCCAAGCACTAAGAAGACTGAGGCAGGAGGATCACCATGAGTATGAGGCCAGTCTGGGCTACAGTGTTCCAAGGCCTTCTTGAACTACACAGTGAGACCCTGCCTCTAAATAAATAAATGAATGAATAAATAACAAAGCAAAGTGGTAGCTGAGGTAAGAGAACTGCAAATTCAAGCCCAGCCTGGAAAACTTAATAACTCGGTAAGATCCTGTCTCAAAAATAAAAAATTTAAAGGGCTAGGAATATAGTATGGTGTGAAAGCCTCAGTTCATTTCCCAGTAGCACAAAAGAAAACAAGTAAAATTTAAAAATTAAATAAAATAATGAAGCAATGCAAGTTTCACTATGCTTCCTGCTTAAATTCCCAGTGACTTCTTATCATCTATATAGGAGTTCAAACTTCCTCTTTTTTGGCCTTTTTGAGACTGTGCCTCATTATGCAGTTCAGGCTTGCCTTGGACTCACTGTATAGCACAGGCAGGGCTTGTACTCACAGTGATCCTCCTGCCTCAGCCTCCTGAGTGCTGGGATTACAGGAATACACGCCATGCCTGGCTTGGAAATCTGAGTTTTGAAGGACATGGGAAGGATAAATTTAGAGAAAATACAATAATTAGAATGCTCGGGTCTGACAAAAATAAAAAAAAAAAACAAAAAAAATGGGATGGGTACGATATACTTCTGGAATACATGAAGACATGCTAGACTTATTCTGCATGGCCAGAGAGGAGCTATGAATGAATATAAGGTGTGGTTCTCTATCAACACATGAGTCTTCCAGCAATGAAACAGGCTATCAGGCTGCCTCGTGGGGAGAGGGATGGCTTACTAGTACTGAACATGTGGCTTTCACAACCAGCCACCTCCCCAACTCTTTCACTTTTTATTTTGGGATAGGGTCTCATTAAGTGGCTCAATTGCTCAGCTTGGGCTCAAACTTGCAATCCTCTTGCCTCTGTCTCCCAGAGTGCTGTAATGACAGGTGTGTGACACTAAGCCCCGTGCATCTATTACTTTTTAAGGCCTCAATCGGGGTCAGGGAGATGGTTCAGTAGACTAAGCCCTTCCCTGGCAAGTGCAAGGGCCTGAGTTCAATCCCCAGTCCCCCCCTAAAAAAACAAAAACAAAAACAAAAACAAAAAAACACTTTGAGAGGGCTGGGGAGATAGCTCAGTAGAATAAGTGCTTGCTTGGCAAGCGTAATGGCCTGAGTTCAATCCCCAGTTCCACAAAAAAAACCCCAAAACAATAAGGCCTCAATCATCCTGTAGTTCTTTTTTTTAAATTTTATTTATGTGTGTGTGTGTGTGTGTGTGTGCGTGCGCGCGTCTACAGCTCAGCCCACCAGGGGGCGGGACTGGCTGGCATGTGGTGCTGGGGCATTGAACCGCGGTCCCTGTGCTTTGCTAAGCTTGTTCTAAGTAGGTGCTCTAGACCAGAGCCATCTCACCAGCCCCATCCTGTAGTTCTGATCTTTGCTATTTCTCTTTTGACATCAATTAATACCATTTAGATTCTATAGAAATATGAACATTCTTTCTCCACTACTCTCCCAGCATGCTATCTCTTTCAGCAGAATACTAAATGATAGCTTTTTCAGAGGCCCAGTAAAGACATAAGAAAGATAAAAGAAGCCTTTATTAACTCCAAAGACTCGGAGATGATTGAGGGCTGATGGGTCACGTAGATCCTCTGGCCTGAGACAAAGAAAGCTGAGGCTTTTACAGACTTTTGTAAGGGATGGAGTTTGAGGGGGATGTTTAGAAATATCTCAGGAGCTGATTGGGGTCTTCCCTGATGCACTGGAAAAGGTGAAAGGAAACTGCACCCTGTGCTGAGTTGCAGAAGGCGGGAGGTGGTCTCTGGAAAGATAAACTGTTGTTTTAAAGGCTTCAGTCATGTTAGATGACCAACATAACAATTTAGCAATTTATATTAGGGTCAGAACCTACCACTAAAAACCCTGTATCAATCTGCCTCTGCTTCCAGGCTAATACCCAAACTCTGTGCTTCATGTTCAAGGCTTTCTCAGTGGGGACCCTCACTGCTTTTCTTTTCTTTCTTTTTTTTTTTTTTTAATTTATGTGTGTGTGTGTGTGTGTGTGTG